GGCCAGTGGATGCAGCCTGTTCCCCCAGAAAAAGGATCCACCATAAAGCTTGCATGTCCTTAAATCTTATTATTGCCATCACGTCTGGGGTTTATATATACCAAACAACTTCCTAAATAAGTTAATAAAATTTCATGTTATTCACCTTGTGAAGGGGAGAATTCTGGACAAGACTCCAGTCCCTCACCAGGCAGATTCTTCTAATATCCGGGTTCAAGTACTTTTGGGCTCATTCCAAAGCAGCAGTGAATCAACAGTGAATCAGTCATTGTTATTTAGATAACAGAAGAAGAACAAGAGCAGAATGAGCCTTTATAGTCATTGAACAACATACAATGAGTTTTAAAAGGTGCTGCTCCTCATTGGGGCAAACTGATCAATGGAAGCTTGTGAAGATGTGTTTATTAGATTTCCCAACATCACTCTGTAGCAATTTAGGTCACTTCTATGTTAAGCTGTCTATGACCTAGACAGATTTAGCATGAAAATTATGAATTAATTATTAATATTGTATCCTTTGCATATTGCATTTCAAACTGTAGCTGCAGCTGGATATAATTGCGTCTAATATGATTATTTTTTTAATTAGTGCACCTTACAAACAGGCAACTCGACTGGGTGTCTAAAATTTACCCTATTTCCAAAAAGGACTACAAACAACACAGTCCCTGAATTGTTCGTGGATGTCCACGGCATGCACTCCGGAAGCAGAGAAATGTCCGAGGCTATTCCGCCCGCCGATTGGCTAAGCGGCACATCAGTCACGCCCGTCACTCACTCGACTTCCGACAAGCGTGAATTCTTCGAGGGAAGAAAGTAGTTGATCAACAACAGAATCGCATCTGCGGACGAGGCGGTCGGGCCACCGATAGCGCTGGAGTAACAGCTACATGTTTGCGCAATATTAATCAAGGTACTATACAAGCAGACTTTTATCCTTATAATAATATGCTATTAGAATACTACCTGTTAACTGGCTAATAAATATTTTGATGATGACCTAGATATATCTCTAAAAGACAATGTTGCGCTTTGACGAGCTGATCCCTTTATTGTTAATATATTTGAACCGATTCTTCATATTATCAAACTGTCAAAGCCTCGTAAAACACGCATTAGCCCTGATAATGCCTGCGGTAGGAAAGGTCGGTATGTCTGTACGCGTCAGTGCGTACGTTAACACTAGCTTTTGAAAACAACACAAAAAACATGTTTTCAGTGTAACTCAGCACTGCCGTGCAGCGTCCTCTTCCTGAAGTACAAATAATGCAGTGGTCTTCGCATAATGAATCAATAAGACGTGGTTATTATTTTAATTCCCACTTTTATTGTATGTGATGTTTTAAAAATAGAGTGAAAACATTCCGGGAAAGGACCTGCAATGTAATGCCTGAACGCATTCATTCATGAATGATAAAATGTTTCGGCGCGTAATTTCTTGCGCTATCCACATCTAAGAAAGTATTATGCAACTTTACACCTTAGATTCCCGATCGATGATGTCAGAACACCTGAAGTTTAATTACTGAGAATATAATAAGCACACAGCTGAAAGTTTGGCAGAACTATTTTTTTTATGTAAATACCGTCCTAGAAACTAATACGGTGTCTCTGTTTACCGCCTTTGGCAATTTCTGGAAAGGGCGATTCATAAATGTTACTGACATTATACTAACATTTATGCGTCTTTAAACTGATACCTCTTTATACTGACACATGAAGCCGCACCATGCAATTCGACACAAGTACAACCCGCAGTGTAAAAGTTTCAAGTTTTATTATTACTTGTGTTCGGAAGAACACGGTGAATTTCTTATGCTGCACTTGCAAGAGAGGGGGCAGGTGCTTGGAGGGACAATTGGGCAATAAGATATACAATACATTACAATATAAGGACAAGAACGAAAGACATTTTAAATTATGCCTTGCATTGTTAATAAATTGCAGGGGCATTTCTAGCAGATAAATAATGGTTTGCTTATTTTGCTTAAATGTCTGTTCCTTTTAGACCTGATCATGAATGTCGGCGTAGCGCACAGCGAGGTGAACCCCAATACTCGCGTCATGAACAGCCGGGGCATCTGGCTTACATACGCGCTGGGAGTCGGCTTGCTTCACATAGTCCTGCTCAGTATCCCTTTCTTCACTGTTCCCGTTGTCTGGACCCTCACTAATGTTATACACAATCTGGTAAGTGGCACTCCACGGACAGTGTTTTGTTTCTGAGATATAGCTGCTCCTGCAGATTATCATAATTAAGGCAATTTCTTGATTATATAGAAAACCTTAATATTTACACTGAAATTCCATTTTTTTTTTTGGCGCCCCAGATCGCTCATTGTTTATATCTTTAGAAACTTAGACCTTTAAACCAGATGGCGCTGAAACAATTGGTGTTTCCTCAGCACTTTACCATCTCATTGTTGACGGTATTCCTTAGAGTAAATAACAAGGTCAGCGCAATGACATCAGTCACAAAGTGTGCTATAAAAGATGGACTTCATAACCTGCTGCACAATGCCAGCCTGGTTTTCCGATTGTTTTTCTCTTTACAGTGACATACAAAAAACGAGTCTTTTTCAACAGCTTACATTATGTTCCAGTATGTAAAATTCGTAATTTGCGATTGAACCTTTAAAAAATACTGAAAGAGGTAGTCGGCTTTTTAAAACAAACATTTCATAATAGTCTTATCAGGCTTGTTGCATTTACACATGGTTTTTCCCTGTGCTCTCTCTGTGCAAACAATTCCTGCACTGTGATATTTACAGTAAATGTGGGTGTATATTTTAAATGTTTCTAATTTTGCAATTTAATTCATTTTAGGAATAGGAACAACGCATTTTATGTTGCTTAGATCTTAGACCTTACTTTACCTTTGCTTAGTATGGAAAACGTTCTCTGGAAGAACTACTTTATGGGTAGTCTTTATTCTGTGACTTTAAAATTGAAACTGCTTGAGCATAATCGACGTCTCTTCATCCGTCGTTGACAGGGAATGTACTTGTTCCTGCATGCGGTAAAAGGAACTCCCTTTGAAACTCCCGACCAGGGAAAGGCTCGGCTGCTCACGCACTGGGAGCAGCTGGATTACGGTGTGCAGTTTACCTCTTCCAGAAAGTTCTTTACCATCTCACCAATAATCCTGTAAGATTTTTATTTTCTGTCTAACAGAAGAAAAAATAATCAATCTTAAAAGCCGAAAAATAAATATCATTGAGCCACAAGAAATGGCTGTGCCTTTGTTAATTTGAGGAATCTTTGTTTACTTTTATAATTATTTACATATATTTTTACTTAGCAGATGCTTTTGCCCAAAGGGACATACAAATGAGGCAAATAGCACATTACAAACATAAAAACATTCGTTGCATTAGGAAAAATGACTAAATGGTTGTCAAGTGTAACATTTCAATTTTTAATTGAAACTTTTTTCAAATTCCCTCCAGATATTTCCTTGCCAGTTTCTACACAAAGTATGACACAGTGCACTTCGTGATCAACACTTCTTCTCTGCTGAGTGTGCTCATCCCCAAGTTACCGCAGCTACACGGAGTCCGCATCTTCGGGATTAATAAGTATTGAACCTGGAGCCGGGATCCTCTGCAAGTCAGCATTCCAGATCACTGGTCACGTTGTGCACGGCGAGATGAACTGATAAATAGCTGAACTTTGTACGGCAGTAATGTTTGCTAAGCAGTTTTTGTAAACAATAGGTAATTGTCACTTTCATTGTGAGACACAGAGAGTTTTTGTAAGAAACTGTGTAGTGCTAACTTATGTAACTATTTAATTTTGTTTTTTTGTTTTTTCAATCTCATTGGACTGGGCAGGCCCGGGTCTTTAACTTAAAGCTACTTTTAAAATAACTTTTTGAATATTTTCAGTTGAGGTTTCTCTGTTGTAGTGAATCATCCTTTGTACTCCATTCCCCTTAAAATGTCAGAAAAGCTATCAGATGTATGATTATTAAGAACAAGGGCCTGTCGCTCAAACTCATGCATGTATTAGTTTTACATTGATCGGTGAATGTTAATTTACTGGTTTCTGAAAAAGTCCTGTGGGTAATGCAAAGTATTACTTCAGATCATGCCCTTGGGATAGGAGTTATTTGTTTTTCAGTTAATAAGGACTTATTTCTGAGAGTCCACCTCATTTTGGTGTATATAGATGTGCAATATTCATGTTAAAAGAGCGCTCAATGAAAGAAGCACAGTGACTGATTATAGATGCTTATTAACATAGTCGACGTTCCTGATTTTCCGATAGTACTTCCTTTAACATAAGCTCCTTGTGACAGCCTCTGCCCCTTGATTAGTTATTGGAATTCCCCCAATAGCCCCTAATGTGCCTGACGTAATAAAACATGCTGTGTCCCTAAGACCTACTTCCATCTTTTTAAATTATTTATATTCTCTCTATTCAATGAAGCTGACAACCATTTACAGCTATCTTGCTTTGCATGCTGGCAGGTTTTTAATTTACCAGTCATTAACTGAATTAAAACCCATATTATTTGGCTTAACCAATTAAGATGCACAGCAAATTCAGTTTTTTTTTTTTTAATAATTCTGATCTCATTTTGTACCAGTTAATCTGAACTGTTGATTTCACTCTGCCTATGAATTTGTGGTTTAACGTGGTGTTTCTGAAACCAGCTCTCCAGGACCCCCAGACAGTCTATGTTATTTCTCCTACTGGGAGCTGGGAGGGAGCAAAAATGTGGACCGCTGTGGGTCTGCAAGAACTGGGTTGAGAAACACTGGTGTAATATAATTATATTCACTAAAAACATAGGCAAAGATGTTTTTTCCTCTTTGTGCAATGTATTTATTGGGTCTGACAGAGTGAGCATTACGTAACAGCAGTCAGGTCAGTCTGATCAGGCTGTGGTTGGAGGGTAAATACCAACCTGCTTCTCGGACACCATTTTCAGTAGCATTTGTCTCATACTTTGTTTCTAGACCAATTGAAATTGAGAAGAAAATATCCAGATCTCATTTGGTGTTTCATTAAAACAAATGATTTATGTTTTTAGGAATGGTTACAATTTATTGTTGAAATTTGGTCATGTTTTTGTTCTCTTTTCCACAGTTGCATCCCAATTAGCACCCAATTCCATCAAACACTGTTAAGATATTTTTCATGTTTATACTTAACCCTGAAATTCAAAGTACCTGCACAGATATGGCTGCAAAGCATTTTAAAAATAACATATAGATGGGGAGAACCATCAAGACATATAAAACATGTTTTTTAAAATCTGAATATTAAAAAAAACTAGTCCATTTAAAATGCTATACCGTTGAGATCGTCACACTCCTGTTGCAGAACGCCTTTAAAAACTTCAAAATGGTGGTTCAGATCCTTCTGCGTGTGGATCTTGTATCTGGTTCCTAAAGCCCCATCGGCAGAAGCACTTCCGTAAAACACCCTGCTTATCCTGGAGTGCACCAGCGCCATGGCGCACATCACACAGGGCTCTCGGGTGACATACACTTCATACCCTGTGCAGATATAGGGAAGTCCACTTTGTTTTGCTTCATCCACCTCATCTTTAACCTCCAGGCCAACGGGGCACCTGATGCTCAAGCCGGGTGAAGAACTGGGTGCAGAAAACTGACAGGTGGGGTACTGGTACTCATAAGCTCCACCCCCCTGGCCACGAGCCACAAGATCAATGCAGACCATCACAGCGTGATGCAAGGGGTGCGATCCTCCTCTGCAGTCATGTCCCACAGCTAGAACTCTGTCCATTTGTGGATCAACAATGACGGCGCCGACAGAATCCATCCCTGCTGCCTGTCCTGCTTTCGCTGCCGTGATAGCAGTTAGCATGTACTCCTGCATTTTTGCTTTTTGGTCAGCAGTAAACAGCTGTCCCTTAAGAGCCACAGTGACTTGCTTATCTTCATGGAAGGAAGTCGGCCAGTGTTTGCTGGCCAGTTCAAACTGAGGCCGTGTAAGTGGAGGACATGCTGGTATTTTCACCAAGAACAGCTCCCCCAAACCATTTCTATCAAATTTGCCAGAAGATAAATCTGAAATGGATACCTCTCCGTGGCTTTCTTGTAAGTCACTTACCAAACAGACAATAATCTCCAAAGGGTGTGGGGTGCTACTGTCTTTACATGCTCTCACTCGTTTGATGTGCTGAAGACCAGTCAAGGGATAAATCGTGGCCAGCTCCTTAACGAGGCGAGATGTTTCTCTCTTGTTAATGATGGGCGCAGCGTAAGCATCCAACAACTGCGTATCCTGGGACTGCTCGTCTGAAAGGACTGGCAAAACTTCCCAAGACACGGGTTCATCCTGCGTTGCCTTTCTACGTTTGCACTGTGGTTCCATTAAAGTGAATCAAATTTTAAAAACAATAATAAAATTCCGATCTGACTTTTCCAAAGTTTCAAAAAGCAATTCTGAGGAAAATACGGAATTTAAAATCGCGTGCTTAACTGTAACAAAGTGCAACCCAGATCTTTACAAAAACGTTACTAACCGATTAAAATACTACCAGCAGGTATCACACCGAGATGGGAAACTGTCGGTTCTTTGAAATGTAAAACGTAAATTTTATATTTATACAAACGACCAACAAACAACGTCGTTCATTACATACACGGTAAATAACGGAATCTTGAGACTAACGATGAGGGAAAATATTACTCAGAAATTACTTAAACCGAATCCGACTCCCAAGCCATCAACTCGGTTCCGTCGATTAGGAAGTTCCGGCATGAACAAACGATTATACAGATAGTTCTGCCCTCGTTTTCTTCTTACGCTACATTTAGTAAAAGTAATATGATAACAATTATATGTATTCTCGATAATATGCATTCTGATTAAGATAAAAGACACACCAAGTAGCCTTCCCATATTTATGAAATCTATTCGGAACTAGTTTTAGGTTTACCAGTTTATTTGGGGCGTTGTTTATGTGTAACAGATAAGTCAACAAGACCAAAGCATGTCATATAAAGTCTGTGAAGCGAATGTTAAATGAACACTACTGTTTTTTTCATGCAAATGTACGCGAAATGTCCCACTTTAGAAATATTACTAATTTATGATATACCAGAATATTTATCTCAGATCAGTATTCTTCCACCCCGACGTTTCACATGTTCAACACATAAGGTGGCGGCATTGCATCGAATTGGTCACGTCTCGGGCTTGCAGTATAGCGCATGCGTAAAAAGATAACGTATCCAAAGTCCTTGTTTATAGAGAGTATAGAGGGTGTATTCTTTCCCGATTGTTAGGAAATGCAGTCGGGGTATAGTTCCCTGTACGAGTATTTTGTTTATTGAATATTTTAGAAGATATTTTAATGATCTGCTGTGGAGTTGATGCCATTCTTTGTAATGCTAGTATGAAGGCTGTTATCCTGGCTGCAGGGTACGGGACAAGGCTACAGAGAGACATTGAAAATGATACAACTGGGAAGTTCCAGCATCTCATTGGCATCCCCAAGCCTCTGCTTCCAATCGGACACGCTGCTTTAATATCACACTGGATTAAAGCTTTAAATGAGTCTGGCTGTGTGGACGCCATCGTGGTCGTTGTGAGTCTCTTTTACTATCCGCGTTACTAGTCAATGTACTTCCTACACTTTTACAATATTTCATACTGTACTGTTTTTATTCTAATGTCCGACAAAACTACTTCATTCCCATATTGTACTACTTGTTCACGATTTAGCCTATCACGTATTTTTATTCTTACATTGCACATATCCAGTATTGAATGGTAGTTTGTCTTATCCCTCCCCCACCAAGAATTTCATAAGAAATTAAGTTCCCCGAATACATTTCACCACGCATTAAGTCTTCCCGTTAGTTTCCAGTTTAAGTCACCAGCAGTGGTGTCATTGCAATGGCAGAATGTTGACGTGCATGGATGTTTTCATTTCATTTAAATTTTATTCATGGAAAATGCATGCACGTTTTGACGGGGATATTTCACACTTCACTCCAACAGACTAACAGCCTTTACTATAACACATTTGAGGACTGGAGAGGGAATTTTCCAAATGTCAAGATCCTCAGTGATGGGACTGAAAACAACGAGGTCAGTCTTGTATGGGAGTCATAAACGTGCGTGCCGGCATAATTTGTGGGTATAGTACAATCATTTCAGTTGACTTATGTTATTTTTACTCCTTATATTGGACTTTTTCAGGAACGTCTTGGCGCCGTTTCCTGCCTTCAACTCGCGATCAAGCATTTCAAAATAGAAGACGACGTTTTAGTTATAGGAGGGTTTGTATTTACGCTAATGAAAAGTTAGTTTGTTTGACGGAAATTGTTAGATGTTAGATACGTTTGTGATGCATAAGACTGTCTTTCTCTTTTTTTAAGGGACACTTTGTTCAAGGAGGACTTCAGTATTTTAGAGGTCACTACCAAGTTTAAAAGGCTGAAGGCGAGATGCAGTGACAGTAATCTGGTGCTTTCATATCCATGCAGAGACGATGGTGAGCAGTAAAACGGGAAAATATGACTTCAGATCAATCAGAAGTCATTTCACATTGCTTATCCTGGTCGAATAACATGGTAACAAATAAAACCTTGAACTTGGTCAGGATCACAGGGTTTGCTAGTAATTTCAGTTCCAGTTCATATTTAACATATGGAAAGCAGATGATTGAAGACATCCACCATTGGTAAAACATTTTTATACTTTGGATATGCTTTGTACAGCCAACCAGTGATTTTATCGGTACTGTATTGTCAGTGCAGCAGTAAATGCTTATGCAAGTTTATAGTTGTGTATAACTAAATTTAGATACCTGTTAAGAAAGGGTGCCCTGTTTCCCTCAGAAACCACCAAATATGGCATTCTGGAGCTGGATGGAGACCAGCGGGTTTGTCATATGAAGGAGAAGCCGCTCCCGTCCCAGACTAAGTCGCGCAGAGCCGTAAGTCTCTCCCACATAAAATTTTGGCACATAGTGCTGATCATGGGTTTGTCCATGGCCAATGTGAACGGCTGAGAAATAGACTGTAAGGTCTCCCACATGAATTATCAAATCCAAAATATGTTTTTGTCAGCATCAGATATAAGATGCACAGGGTGATACACTGAGGTGAAAGGTTGTTTTCTTCAGTCATGATGCAAACGAGAAAGCAATAATTCAATAATAATTCAACACATTTCCAGAAAAGTTTTTGCATCACCATTTTTGATTTTGATGAAATTTGGAACCTAAATTACGCATTTCACCAGAACTCAGAAATGTTTTTATTTAAAAAATCCTTTTTGATATATAGTGCCATTTCAACACCCTGGATAGCAAAAATGCTAGTATTTTCTTATGATCTATAATTTTTTTACTGTTACATTTTTTAACTTTTTGTTCAATGAAACCAGAATGACCCAAATATAAGTATTGAGATATATTAACATAATCAGGATGGGATTAATGAACAGACATGCCTAGGCAGAATCCTGGGGGCTCAAAGTGATAGGGGGGCCCTATTGGCTGTCTGGTAGATAGATAGACAGACAGAAAGAAACTTTATTTATCCCCAAGGGGGAAATGTACATGTCCAGTAGCCCCTCCAAAAATAATAAAAAAGTACATACTAAAATACATCCATATTACACATAACACAGTCTTTTAGTTACAATACAGTTATAATAGATAAACGACAGGGGGTGGAATGGGAGGATGAGGTCAGAGAGCACTATTAAAAAGTCTAATTGCAATGGGGACAAAGGACCTCCTAAACCGCTCAGTTCTGTAGCGCAGTGAGAGGAGCCGACTACCACTGCTGCTCCTCTGCCCAACCATGAGGCTGTGAAGGGGGTGTCCACTGTTGTCCATTATACCTTTCAATCTGTTCAATGTGGCCCTTTCTTCCACTGTTCTAAGTGAGTCCAGCCTCCTGCCCAGCACTGAGCCAGCATTGTTCACCAGCTTGTTCAGCCTCTTGGTGTTTTTATCTGTCAGTCTTTACCCCCAACATGTAGCAGCATAAAGGAGGGCAGTGGCTACCATTGAGTGATAAAACATGTGCAACATGTCATCACACACGTCAAAGGACCTCAGCTTCCGCAGAAAGAAGCAGCAGCTCTGCCCCTTCTTGTAAAGGAAATCTGTATTTAGGGACCATTCCAGTTTATCGTCCAATATGACCCCCAGGTATTTGTAGGAGGTCATCACCTCGATGTCCTGCCCCTGTATGGAAACTGGCTGATGAGGTGGCCTAGATCTTCTAAAATCCACCACCATCTCCTTGGTTTTGGTGTTAAGCTGGAGGCAGCTTCTACTGCACCAGTTCCTGAAGGCCTCCACAAGGTCCCTGTATTCCTGCTCCTGTCCACTTTTGATACATGCCACAATAGCTGTATCATCAGAGTATTTCTGCATGTGGCAGTAGTATTTATTATTATTTTAAAGTGATCCTTAATTGGTTGTTTGTTTGCAAGTTGGTTGTTGGTGAAAAATGAGCTCTAAGTGTATCTTTTTGCCACTCCTTTTATACTGTTGTATATTTTCTTGTAATTCTGTGTAGTGTTTTTTCCTTTGAATACTGTCTTTACAAGCCTGATTAATAAGTAAGAACTTGTCTTAAATTCTTTTGGAATTTGCCCCTCCCTGTAATGTTATTTGTGGTCTATGCTAAATGTGTATTGAGTTCACATTGTGGATGCAATTGACATGCCTTGGATCAGTGTAATCTTTTATGGTTACCGCTACTGAGATGCCATTATTCAGGGAGGTCTTTGTTGAGCTCTTTCTGGTTACTGCAAGCTCATGATCAGAGTTCCTGAAATCCCACCCTGGAATATTATCAGGACCAGCAGCCTTACCTGGGTTCACTTTACAGTGTTCCTCACTTATGCTGTGGATAGGTGGAGTGCTTGTTCATTGCTGGGAGAGGTGGTCTTCTCTGACTTGTTGACAGATAAGACTGGGCGAAGACCTGCTTGAGCCTGTCAAGGAGCGATGTATTACACTCTGTGGTATGTGAGATAGGCAGTAATTTGTAAGGGCCTGTATGTCTTGGCATATACACTGTTTTTACTGTCATGGAAACGGATGTATTTTTGTGTGTGTGTGAGAGAGAACACTTTCAGTGGTTCTGACGGTCTGTCCCGGAGCAGATCTAGCTGTCCTTAGGGCCACAGGGGCACCTGCCCTGAAGCCCACATCCCCTGGCTTTAGCCTGGTGTAGACTTCTGCTATAAACCAGGGCTTCTGTGGTAATGCTTCGATACAGCGACATACTGCATGCATTTGTGATTGTATTTTTAACCACACTGTCCTTACTGTCCCTGCAGTGTCCCTGCTTCTATTTGTTCTCGAAGACCAGCATTCCCCTTTTGGACGTGTTCCTTCACGAAAAGGAGGTGAACTGTGTTAAAACGTCTATCAACTACAGATATGTTACCCTCTTTGTTACGGAGTGTAATTCTCAGTTTCGCTCACCAGATGGCACCTATTGAAGAAAAAGACGCCCCGGGGAACTTTCTGTCATGGCTATTATTAAGGTGTGCACTTTGTAATATGACACTCCTTATTACAGCGGAACTTTTTCCTGCCTGACAGTTTGATCTCCCATATCTTTCCAGGAAACCCGTCTTGGTCCATCATATTTCTGGCCGCTTCGACGTGGGAAACTTGTCATCCTACATAGAGTGCGACACCTTTTTCAGAGAGAAGCTTTCTCACGTTAAGTCATACATGAAGTAGTGCCGTCACATAGAGCAGGCGTGATACTGAGGTAGTACACAGATCACTACAAGCTTCGCAGTTGAGCAAGATGGACAGACTTTGTGCCTCTTTTACACTAACCTACAAAGTGGCGATGCTGAACTGTTCGTGCTGCGTTTCTTTAAATGATTGTACACGATTTTAAAATTATTTTAATGATCGATGAAACAAAAGGAAAATACATAATGGTATAATGAATGGAAAGTAATCGAGCATAAAACATTTCTCCCCTCGGATCAGTAAAATATAGGTACCGATTTGATGATGAAAGGTTTCTGAATGTGAAGTATCCAGGGAATGACTCATGTAGCACAGAGTCTACTGCATTTGTCGGACGCCTTCTCGTGGCTGTTCTCTAGCTTGGCGATGCGGGAGCCGAACTGCATGGCCCTCTTGGGCAGCATGGCTGAGGCACACAGCCCCAGCTGCCGGGCTGCCAGCCTCAGCAGCAGCTTCTCCCCCAGCCCCCGGGGGAGCGAGAGCTCTGCCTTCTCCCACACTGGTAGGCCATTCAGGAAGGAGACCACCTCCTCATCCAGATAGGGGAACCTGAAACCAAAGGACATTCACCACCCTCAACACAGGATTCAAATGTCTGTGGGGTGTGGTTCCCTCCCAGTGGGGTGAGAAGGTACCCCCCAGTACCTATTTTGAAATTGCTACCTTTAGAGATATTAAAAATATATTATATTCCTGCATACAATATATAACTCTAATAAATTAAAATAATTTAACTAAAATCAACAATCACCAGGTCTGTGTGTGTATGTGTGTTTGCGTTGGTGTGGGGGTATCAGGACAAATACACTGGACCTAGGGGGGCCCTGGCAGAACAGTTCAAATACTGACATAGGATCTCTTATTCACACTGTCCAGTCAACAACATATAACCCCTAACAGAATAAGGCAACACAAAGACAAATGCACTCATGAACAGCAAAGCAGACATGACTAGGAATTGCAGAGGTATGTATTTATGGGATAATTAAAAAATAGAAGAAATTGCTAAAGCAGAAGATATGGCTCTATTGTGTGCAAATGTTATTTTCTGTGAATAACAGAATAACATGTGACAGGAGACAAAAAGACAAATACATTCAAACTGGCTAGACAGTGTTTAAGATGTTATTTTCTAACAAGCTTTAGATTTTCAAACATTGTGCCTGATTGCAGCAATGTTATTTCTTTCGTTTGCACTCACCTGGCCTCCTTTCCGTGGTCCCCGATGATCCTGTCGTCCCTGCCAAGGTTCCGGGATGATATTCTGCCAAGCTCCATAGCTAGCTCTTGGACCAGGCCCTCAAGCCCAGCAGCCTTGTATCGGACCCGGTGTCGCGAGTACCCTGCCAGCTGTTCGTCTGCTCCGATACCAGTCAGAACCACCTAGTGGAGAGCAGTTTTATAGCATCCTTAAGAGGAGTATGAACACTGGTGGGCACATTGTACCGGTATCAAAATGTTGCGACTATACATCGGTCTACAATAAAGAGGAACCAAGATATGTGGACACCATGACATACCTTTGCAGAGGAGGTGAATGGTCTGTACTCTATCCCGTCCTTTACGAAGCCAATCCCCCTGGCTGCAAACCACACTGCGCAGCCAATGCTGTCATCCAGCACTGTCTCCAAAGGATGCACCAAGTGACAGATGTGTTTCTGTCGCATGTCTTGAAGCTCTTCCTGGGTTACATTGATTTCTACAAAGTTCCACTTCCGGTCTGAGCTTAGGGCACACAGCTCCTGCAGGCCAGCTCTGCCGGTGATTCTGTCAGGCACGTCGAACCTCGCAGACGGAAGGGGCTCGCCGAGATCATTGGCCTGATCCGGTGTCATCTTCTTGTTCTTCATTTTCTTGGTTGGTCCTTTCTGTCTCTTTGGCTCCTGGAGTCTGAAAGCCACATTCAAAAGATCGATTGGTTTTCCACTTGGGACATGGCGATGGGCTAACAAAGCCAGAATCATGGAGTCGATTCCACCGGAAAAGAGGATAGCGACGTCAGCTTTGTCGTTGGGCATCAATGTAGCTGGATCTTCGTAAGGAAGATACTGCACACGCCACTGTACAGCTCGGCTCAAAACATCTATGAGCTGGCTAGCCACCTTCTTCATCTGATCACATGTCAAGAATGCATCCAGGTCTTCAATGGTTGGCTGAGAGCCAAAGGTGTTCGTATTAGCACTGATGGTCTGACTCACAGACATGTTCATTGGACTTATGGGGGAAGCAAGACAAAGCCCAGAATCATTCATCACTAAAGACACACAGTTGTCAAGACTCTCCCAGTTAAGCTCATCAACTGAAGGTGTTTTTTCACCTGGGTAAATCCACGGATACAACTCTAACCTCAAAGAACTCAGTTGAGAATTTTCACCTAAATCAAGTTTGTAAACCCCAAATGCTGGAACCTCCTGCCACGGCGAATCACTGGCCCCATTGAGAGAAGCCGCAACAGATGTTATAATCACAAATTTCTCCCGCGGACCAAATCGCCAAAGCAGACTCCGCCGGCCAAAGTAGTCTCTGCCAAACCAGAGGCAGTGTTTAGCTGCCTGGTAGTAAATAAAAGCCCATGGCCCTCGTACATTAGACAGAAGAGACAAAATATCTCCAGGGCTGGAACAGCTGGAGAGATGATGGAAGAGACATTCGGTGTCGTTGTCTTCAAATCCCAAGTCCAGACCACCAAACACCTCTCCGTTCCAGAGAAAGACATTTCCGTCTGTATCTTCCAGTGGTTGAGGAGTCAGTTTGCCTCTCATGTGAAGAACATGAGCAGAGAAAAGGCACTCACAGCTCACATCTCCCACTCTTTTCCTTACTTCCTTACTTGAGTGAGGCCCTCTCTTTGTCAAATTCTGAAGCAGTCTCGATTCTAACACATGAGAGGAGGAAAAGTTCACGGCACAGCAAATACCACACATTTTAAAATTCGTTACATTCCTCTTAACTAGTCTTGGTCCACTTTGTATGTTTTTATAAATCCTGGAACTCTTTCTTCATATTGTCCAGTGTTTCTGGAAAGGGAAAACATGCAGTGTTTACATCAATAAATGGAAACCGAAACTGATTTAAATGCTGAAATGTAACTACAAAAAATAAGTTTAAAAAATGTTAACAAGATGCAATGTTAAAACAGCTTTAAGACTTAACAGTCTCACTTACTTCTGCAAGTACTTAGTGTCTCCGCTTTGTCAGCCAAAAAGAAGATGTTACTGTTGGGCTGCTGTACATAAACCCTCTATGAACCATAAGAACAACAAATCATTATGGCTCCCGATACCCACCTATACAACCGTACACAGCATATAAACGTCATTGCTGCAGTTTACTTCGCTTTCAAATGATTCATCTGCGAATAACATAATTACTTTTTACAAGTGTTTTTAAGTAAAAAGACAACTAAAATGTGATCATTACCCTGTTTTTCTTCAGATTGCAGAGTTCATCAACCACGACCTTCTGTTCCTTAATCTAAAAAGAAAACATGATTTGCCAAGTTCCTTCGCACACATCGTGAAAAATAATAACTCCGTCAGTGCTGATAGTGAAAACACGTTAGGAAATGTCCTTTGCATGACAACATAAATTCATTTCCTTGTATGTTTTAATTTGTCTCGGTATGTTAAACACAGTACTATTTTACCTTTTTATTAAGTTCGTCTTTTAAGTCTCCCTTTGCAGAAAGATCTTTCTCTTGTTGATTCGCAGACATTTTCTCCTGGGAAAAACATAAAAGACGCCAGTTCAGTTTGAATGTGAAGGCATACACATGTGAACAAATTGTCGCCTGCCGATGACGTACTTCCTGCATCTCTCGGCTATTCGAAATAATGCGAATATTTGTATAATCTAGATATGCATCAATCGATTAAGCCGTTATTATGAAGTGCCAGGTGTACGGTATGAAACCCCATATAAACGTTTTTGGAATAGCCACTGAAATTTAAAAGTTTTCGCAATATTTTAATGTAATTTTGATATACTGATTTTGATAGGAGAAATAAGTTTACTACATTTTGCCACTAGATGGCGTCATGGTATGAAAATGAAATTAAATGAAACGAAAACGATAAGTGCAGACAATGCCCTCTGTCTATAAGCTGACATACTGCTTTAGGTTGACAGAAATTGAAAATAGAAAAACTCCAGCTTCAAAAGTATGAATACTTTAAGAGAGTAAACACTAATATAACAGAAGAAGTATAAATAATAAGAAAGGCAAAAACAAGATATGGCTCAGAATAGCTCACAAGAAATAGGGTGAGCAGAACCGATCGTCATTCCTAGAGAGTAGTGTAGAGCTGGTCATGAGCATCTGGCAAAGACCCACAGTTTTGTTAATCTAGATAGGAGGTATCTGAAAATGAGACTGTACAAAATCAATCAGCAAACGTTTACCCTGTGCAGGCAAAGGGCAGCACTTTGCATCAGTTCTTGGACACAATGATATGTCTAAAATTTAAAATAAATGTCATCGTCTCTATACCACCAATAGTTATCACTGTCATTGTTAAGCCATATTATGTAATCTTTCACATTCCTACAAATGTAATTCTTGCCCAGGAATCATAAAATATGGGGAATGGGGCATAACAGCTGATTATTAGTGTTACCCCAAATCCTTCCTGCAGTCTGCAAATGACCCGTTTTAGTCTTTAACATTAAAGCTACTAACTTCCTAAACCATTTGCAGAGCATCAAAGGGAAACTATTAGAAATAAATTAAGTTACTTGTTTACAGCCATTGGGTGGAGTGAAAATAGAACAAACTCTCCTTTCATCTGCTAGTGGCTGTATTTCACAGTGCCGTGCAGAGCCATCACCACCGGTGTATGGAGTGTTTCAGGTATGTGAGATGTATGAGTGAATTACTTAAAGCAAGATGGAGTCCGCCCCACCATTTAACCAGCTGTAACTAGTTGTAGCATCATCAACCTGTTGAACTACATTACTTACACCTCAGTCAGATCTCTGGGGCACAACAAACCTCTTCACTCCTATCCGACACAGTTCCTAGTGCCCCTCCTCCGCTGCCCAAAGTTACTTCTGTGTACAAACGACGTACAATACATCTGTCACTGAGCATTATTGTCTACATGACAAGCAGGAGAGCGTCCATGACATGCCGGCCTGCTTAAATGACAATCCCTCTGCACAACAGAAAAGTCCTGAAATCACTGGCTGGAATAAGGGTGATTGAGATTATATTCCACTCTCTTTAGGGCACCATTAAACTGAAGTGTGTCACAGTTAATGCTGATTCTGTTTGAGCATACAAAGGGAATTTTAAAAAATTATAATCGTGGAGGTTAACTACATTAAGGAATATAAAATATTCATTCAGTTGGAATGACATTGCATGTTTCAGTATCACATTACTAACATACAATATGATATAGAGGTCTTCATAGCAATAAATAATGCTACTCTGTTAAATTTTTATTAAAAATACAGTTGTTTAGTCACACTATTTAGGAACATTTACAAGCATAGAATCATTATACCATAGCCATTGCGACTCAAGTTGTATTGTCAATGCATGAAGCATAAAACTCACCAACCAGGTGACCACATATCATTTGGTATTCATTCGGTATTCATTTGGTATTATTCAGTATTTATTCAGTATTCATTGGGTATTCTTGCACCAGCCTGCTTGAGATATGAAGCTGGAGGTAAATCTCTTCATGTCATTTTTCCACAGCTGTCTTATAAGGTGGTGCTTTTTCTGCTCTTTCAGCTTCTTCCATGTGTGGGTCGCACTCATTTTCCAAACAGAAGCAGTAAGAAATGCTGTGAGGGGCTGGTGCTCAGCAAGCCGGCTGCTCCGTCAGTCATGGTCCCATCCGAAGTGTCATGGCCTCTCCAGAACGGTGTGGTCTGTCGTGGTCAAACAGACGTCACAGCAGCAGACCACCACGTGGGGATCCAGAGCACTGTAAAACAGGGCTCTGCTGTTTATGCAAATTTTGATTTATGCAAAGTTTGACAGGGCAGTTTACGTACATCATGGATTACCTGTAGCCATCCATAGCCACCAGAAAAGATAAAGTTTAACCCTTATGTATACTGTAGCCTCCATTGTTTTTAAATAGTCACTTAGTAAAACTAGTTCTACTGAATACCACTTCAGAGATAAAACACTTTTTCCAACTAGATAATTACATTTTGTTTAGAAATTTAAAGAAACTGTAATATATAATATTTAAAAATCACTTCTTTTGTCATAGAGTAAAAAAAATAAAATTACAAACAAATGGAATTCAAAGAAACAAACATGCAATTGTCAATAACCATATTGTCATTTGTTCATGAAGCCATTTTAAGTGACAGTAATGAACTCTTTGCTGACCTCCTATAACCAGGATGACGTATAGCATACTAATGATGTTTTGAGTATATGATCCAAAATAACATGTCAAGACAAATCAAACTTTATTTTCATTTCAAAACATGCAGGCATACAATGAAACAAAATAATGTTTTTCTGAGACTCCAAAAAGAGTCTTACACATAATATGACTAGTGAAATGCACATGATAATAATGAATAAATAAATATACTGTGCATAGTGTAAATATACTGTGCATGTAAGCATGTAAAAATGTCAGATTTGTGGCGGGAAAACAGAGCAACTATAACCTTGGGGCATAACTTTGGGCTGAGTGTTTGTGTGTGTGGGGGGGGGGGCGGGGTTTGAATATTTACATCCCAGCCTCGGGTTCATCTCTCTCGGTTTAATTTTTCCCAAAATGCACAACAAAACCTGAACTGTTCTGCTGATGGTCCATTATTTACATGCCAGTTGTTTCAAAGCAGCTAATGGTCAAACATTTCTGCTCACGGAAGGTCATTTTACCCACAGCTACCCACAAAACCAACATTCATTGTTTTCAAACAGAACATTTCTTTCCAAATATCAGTTGAGAGTTAGGGTACAGATTTATTTAAACTAAATAAATAAATAGTAATAAACTTTCCCAACAGTCTGGTAAAGTTTATTACTATTTATTTATTTAGTTTAACTTTTAAAGAAACATTTAATTCAACTTCTGTCATGACTTTCTTTTTAGTATTTTCAAAATTATTAATTGAGCCAGATTCCTCGATGGAACAATTGCAATGAACTGTTTCTAGAGCAGTTTACAGCCTTATCAGGGATTAAAAACTGCTACAACTGCACTGACAGTGATGTCTGCAGGAAAGATCTGCACCACAAGCACCTGTAATTCCAGAAGGCCTCTTAATCACCAGGGCCTGTTCTTCTAGGCTGCACCTTGCTTGCAAACAGTGGATGTTTCATAAAGGTCATTTCATTGCTGTGAAAAGTTCTGCTTTGCATTTGCACAGGTGCGACCAAAATGCCGGTGCCCTGAAGGCAGTAGTTTATACAGTTACAACATACAGGGACTTTGGCACTTAAACTACTGTTTCAAATGTTGATTTTTCCCTTCTACTTGCCAAAAAAAATGGAAAAGTATAATCACCTGACTGAGTGCAAAACTTGCACATAATAAGGAATCCTTTGTATATATGCCACTGTGATACAATTTTTACCGTACATGGAGACTCTTGTTACCCAGTATAGCTTGCATCTGGTCTTTCCTACTATGTTGGACTGTTTCCTGTCTTAATATGTTGGCAAAATGTAAAATTCTTAAATTCTAAGAATTGGAAACCAAATTAGTTTTCTTTTATCAAGAAAAATACAAATCCAGTAAATGGACACCAAGGCTGAGCTGTTTGATGGGGGACAGGAAAATGCAGCGTGCAGCAGGAATGACCCCCCCATATCTGTACTTCCTGTCCGTAGTGCTCAGACGTGGCTCCTGGTCAATGCAGCCTGATGCTGTGTCCTTCACCTGGCCTGGGAGCAGCTCCAAGCCAGCTGTGTTTACTGTAGTTCAGCTGTGCAAGGGGTCCATATTGACTTTAACACACCTGCGGTTTGTCTCGGTCCCTCAAAAGATAATCCACTGTCACATGGCACTTGTTTACCCCTGCTGACTGGTACTTAGCACCGGCTATGAAGCTATGCAAATCTGGAGGATAATAACTGGCATTTTTTTATTATTGCAATGAAAATTATTTATCGTTATTGAAACAGTTCACTGTTTTTTGCCCACACAGAATAAAAGAGTTGGTCCTTTATGAGGTGAAGAATGGTGATTAAATTATTAGGCGTAGTATTTTATATTATTAGGGTAGGTTGTAGAATAGAAAGACTACTTCTGCTATGAAAATGATATCATATTATTTTGAGGTTAATGTAGATATAAGTAAGTGGAGCTTACTGGGGAAGCGGCCTCAATACTGGTTAGCTGACTGCATGCATGACACAGCAGAAATATGACACCGGCATAATCACATGACTTAGAACACGCAGCCCCATCTGGATAAAAACAGGCCGCTAATAGCTGCTGCTAGTCTGTTTTTACGGCTCCTGTAACCTAGGGATTATACTAAGGCCCTCAACAGTGTAGCTGCCATTTTCCACAAATAGGATAAAAATAGAGAGCCGAACCACAGTACAAAAGAGCAATGAATAATCATGCATAAATAGAAAGTCAAACTTACTGCTTTACAAAGGGCTGCACAAAGTGCTTTTATTTTCTGTTTAGTGCATTGCAATGACTAAAACAAGCAAGCATAACATTATGATATTAAAAACAGCTACCTATATGACAGATGAGGCAGCTTGCATATTACCGACGTAATTAATTATGGGTGGAAGTTATTTTATAGTGAAAATGATTACTATCTATTAAAGAACGGATTTCATCGGCACGTGATTTGGGATTTCAGTTCACACACTCCATATTCTTGCATAATATGCCCTCGACATAGACAGAATGTGTCAACAGCATGAACTCAGGACTGCAAAAGGCAGCATTTGTTCCCTAAGTAACAATTAATTTATTTATGACAAGGACAACAGACCGTTTGTTACTCATCCTCGAAGTGGTTATGAGTTAAAGTTCATCTGCAGGTGATGCCATTACAACCAGCAAGTTCAGGCCAACATAACAGAGAAATGAAGACCAGTAGTCAGAGCACTTTATGTGTTATATTGTAACATGCAGAACTCCATAAACTTTTTTAAAGGTATCTCCTGTGAGATTAAAACATGAGTAGCCTTTTGCTGTGATGAATTACTCACCACATACAATAGCAGCATGATTTATTTCAGACTATGACAGCGCAGTCTGTTACCTGTGTTTGGGAATTTTGTGTTAGTGATGAGCCTTAATATCTGATTTAAATGTAGCTTGATTTCAGCAACATACTTTAATTCAATGACTAAGCAGAATGAGGCAAAAGTGCTTTAACAGAACTGGAGAGAAAAACAACAAAAAAGAAACAATCAAAACTTTATGCAGACATCAGTTTGAAGTTCAAAATATACACTTATTTTATAATACTTTTAGAATGGAAAATAACAAAACATCTTTTGTTAAAAAAAACAATACATACACTTTAATGTGAATGTGATTAGAAAATTATACTACAAATTACTAGGATACTAGAAATTAATGCAATTTCCCTAATTTTATCAGGGCGTATAAATCTGCATTGATTTATTATTTTCTGATTCAAATCCTCCATCTGAATGTGTGTATTCTGTTAAATCAGATGGACAACAATGTGATTAAGTGATGAGCGCAAGAATCCCAGCCACAGAGGATGAGCCGGTTCTCACACAGGATGTACAGCGCGCCCTGAACAAAAGGCAAACCTGTAGGCCCGTACTTAGTTAAAGGATGGTTTCTTAAATATCGTGCTCAACAGCTATTTACGAAGATCTTCAGCCTGTCTCTATCTCTAGAAACAGTCCTCAAGGACCTGAAGTCAGCCATCACAGGGCCAGTGCCCAAAACAACTACCACTGGCAATCTGAATGTCTGTTGTGCAGTTGTCCTCACACCAACGATAATGAAGTGCTTTGAAAGATCGTTCCTCATCATCCCTGCCTCACTGGACTCACACCAGTTTGCTAACAGAGCTAACAGTTGCACAGAGGATGTCATCTCTCTGGCTCTTCACACTGTCCTGACTCACCTGGAAACAGGGCACAAATGTGGGTATACTATTTCTAGACTACGGCTCTGTTTTTAATAGTCATGCCCATCAAGCTCACCTTCACACTGCACCAGTTAGGCCTCAGCTCACCACTGTGCAACTGGATCCTGAGCTTCCTGTCAAAGCATCTTCAGGTAGTGAGACTGACCCCCCCCCCCCCCCCACAAAGCACTGGCACACCACAAGGATATGTACTGAGCCTCCTGCTCCCTCTTCACACACGATTGTGTCCCTGCATTTGCCAATAACAGCAAGTTAATTTTGCAGATGACAGAATGGTGATAGGGCTGATCTCCAACAGCCTGCAGAGTAAAGGTGCAGAACCCGGTGCTCAGAGAACAACCTGTCCCTTAACACAGCAAAGACCAAGGGGCTAATCATTAACTTCGGAAGATCACGGGAGGACGAGTACATTTCGGAGGACCTCACTAAGTCCACTTCACTCAAGAAACCACAGTAATGGTTGTTTTTGCTGAGGACACTTAAGAAAGCTGGTTTGCCTTGACAGATACTGGTGACTTTCTACCGATGCTCCACAGAGAACATCCTAACTGCATCTCTGTGTGGTACCATAACTGCACAGCACCTGATAGGAATGCTCTTGAGCAGGTCATCTCCAGCACACAGGTGACCATTGGGAGACCTGGATGACATCTACAACTCACAATGCCTCAAGAAAGCTTTTAGCATCTGTAAAGTCTCCACGCACCTTTGCTATCATTTGTTCCAACCTCCTTCATCTGGCAGGCATTAAAAGACTTTTTAAACTGCACCACCAGACTGAGGAATAACTTTTTCCCGAGACCTATAAAGGCCATGGATCAGCTCACCGAGCTCCCCACATAATCTGCCTGACAGACAACTGCTGCAACTAATAACCTCAGTGCACAAGGACTAATACTTTCTTTACATGTTGTTTGCACCATTCAGTACTGCATGTGATACTGTACATTACACTGTTCTTCTGTTATTTACTGTTTATATTGTTTGTACTGTGCATACCGTTCAGACTCTATTTAATTCCTATTTTCACTACTGTACTGGTTCTGGTGCTGTGTTTTATCATTTACTACTTTACTGATATTTTGCCTTATTTTGTTATTTTTTATTTAATTGATTGTCTTTAATAGCATCGAGTATGGAAGCTGCAAACTGAATCTCGTTGTACTTGTGCAACGACAATAAAGATGTTATATTCTATTGTAATCAATGATGTATTTCTTTACAATGCGCCTTTTATGTACGAAACCCAACACAGAAAAAAAGCATGTACAAATCCATGTTATGATACTTAATCTGGTGAAAATACAGTAGCAAGCCAAACAAATCAGTACAGTCCTTTAATTATAGGATGACTTAAGCGTGTTGACAGAAAACAGCCAGGATGCGGCTGTTACTCAAGGCTTCACAAAACACCGTGTGTTTTGTGCGTTATTGACCGGTGTGAGACACCGCTGATGATTACACCGAGATAACTGCCTCAGCCACACCGACTTTGCGAGCTTGGAGAGAAGGAAAAGTGGCCGCAGATTCCCGAGGTATAGCCTGGTCTGTTTCCTGCTTGGCAAAGGGATCAGACTATCAATACAAATCAATACAAGGTCAATACAACAGAATAAAAGCAGAAGAGATGCTAAAAGACGTAAAAACGTAAAAAAAATATATTGGGTTCGGCTAGTGTTTGGTGTTTCAGAAACTGAGATTTTATTGAAGCATATTTTATTTTTAACTTCATTTTGAGAAGAAAAAAATCATGAATGAGCTTTACGCCAGGTCTGAATGAATTTGCACTTGTATTTGAATGAATTTGCACTGTTTCTGAAGCCAAACGGGATTCTTGCAGTGAACCAAGAGTCTGGGGCAGCTGCTCTTTGGCTTCGATGCACTTGCTGTTTTCGCTACTGCAGATAAGCTGCCCCTGGCTGTTTCAAGTGCAAAATCAATAAACGACGGAGAAGAATGGGGGTGGATGCTATCGCTGGATACTGGCCCACAAATTCTGGGAGCTGTCCTCCTCCCGAACGACAGTCATTCATGTCTGAAAAAAAAAGAAATTCTTTCAAAGTAACCCGGAGACCCGTGGGGGATTCAGAAACCCGCAGCTGCCAAAAGAGACCCCTCCAGCCCAATCTCAGCAGTCAGAATAATAATGTGAATTTTTTTTCATTTTCTTAAACATTAGGCTACCTTTTGTTGCATCATACAGATCGATCTATCACGATTGCCTGAGAGAAAGTATGTATTATAGTAGCTGTGATTGACCGCATCTACTTCAAAACGGATGTCAACAATTATGATATATTTATAAACCGTGACCCTATTGTCATTATACATTTCCCAGAGACACTTGTGGTCATTCACGTGATTCTGATCAGGATAGGCGGTTGAAAGCTGGATGTACGAATGGACACATGGTCGTTCGTGGAAATGTTTATAAAGCAGACGGCCAAACATATTGATATGTAAGAAATCCATTTTACCCCGCCTATAGGTCCACGGACTTTATTTATTTATTTATTTATTTTATTTATTTATTTTTTTTTCTTATTTTAACATATTGGTTCTTTATTGTGCATTTGCTATTATCTGAACGATACTGGTGTTACCATCCATCACATTTAATTAGTACGAGTAATAACTTCTTGTCCCTTCCTTGATACTTGCGGGAAAAAAAGATAAAGATTTTTTGCCGTAGTTAAAAGAATAAATTGAGAAACTTAGGTACCAGTACTAAAATCATACTTCACTGTATAAAGTACACATTGGATATGTGTATTCAGTGTATTTTTTGAACCCCAAAAGGAAAAATTACATGCACGAATCATTTAACAAGTTTGCTGTGGCACCATCAACTGCATTACTCAGCAAAAAAAAAATCTTCGTTTCATTTAAACACCGCCTTCCGGGACCATTACTGCGGCTTCACGAGACTTGAAAATAAGTAAACTCCGATCCACCTGTGTTTAAGATTATAAATGATGAGTACTATATCACTCAAATCTCCTGGACAGCAGCTGCTGGATTATGTTAAGTGAATTATACTTAATTATAGGGTAATAAATGGCGATTTCACTCATTTATAAGGGATTGCTGTTGTAACTAAAACTATACATAATTTCATGAATTGTGTCTTTCAATAGTCAGTGTCATATGCAAATCCATATAAGCGCTACATTTTATGTAATTACAGTATGAGGGAGACTGGATTCCATTGTTATTTACCGTACATTTTACTACTATCATACGTCTGTTCACACTTGCAAATGTAATCCTGGTCACCTTTTCAAAACTTAGATGTGACGTAATGTGTTTTTTTGTAGTACAATTCTCGATATTAACTGGGAATAAGGCTTTGTTAAACATGCACTATGCTTATAATATTCGTAGTCATGTGACCCAAAACCCCTCCCGAAGCTCTCTAAACCCCCACAAGGCGTAAATACCGCCGACAGTGTAGTCGGGCCGGGGAGCGTAGACCTGCGCAAGCAGGATTTTTATTGCTTTGCATTAAGACTAAAAAGTCCTTTTTCAATAAATATTGCTTTCCAACTTCAGCTACAGTGATAGCTAAGTTTGGAAAGGAGGAGAAGGTCTTTTTAGTTTTTTATTTGCAGAAAACATTATCAGTGCTTGCACGTCCGCTGGGAAAAACCGCCGTCAGATAAAAAAAAAAGAAACAATATTCTTAAGGTTATTATTTTAAAAATATGGAAAACGCTGGATCAAAGAAACGCAGTTATGGTAAGCATGACCTTATAGACAAACACGATGTTGTCTTTTTAATAAATAATATCTAAAATCTTTCTTTTGAAGTGTCTCATCGGTGTGTTTGCCTTTGGCAGAATCAGCTGCCAAATTCTTTACTTCGGCGAAGTTTCTTATATACCTCGGACACGCTCTTTCCACATGGGTAAGTAGATACAATGTAAACGAACATTTAATTCGATATAAAATAAAAATATACATTTTATTCACCTTTTTCAAATGGGTATTGAGAACGGACTTAATGGCTTTGGCATTTTTATTGCGATCAATATTGGAGGGAGGAGCTGTCATTGTCTGTATAGCTGTAGGATCTTTCGAAACGGTAATTGCATGGAAATTGCATGAATATACCTTGTGTGTGAATGCAGTAAAACTGTGTCGAATGCGCCGTGTTAACAATTTTGTCGGTTCAGTATTAGCGGGGGATTGGGATTGTTTATCTACACTGTACCTTTAAATGTGGTTTCAGCTTTTATTGCCGTGTTAATACTGTGTATGTTTACGGGGGCGGTGGGCTCGGGGTTGATTTGGTTTCTACCAATGTTAACACGCCCCAATGAAACAATGACAAATCAAAGTGTAATTTGTTTGGATAAATGCGCGTTATCGTTTTATCACACCATTTCCGCACATTGTGCATTTGTCTGCTGCTGCTGTATTATTTGGAGGGGAAAATTAGTAATATCCATTATGCTACAGGCAGCTCATATACCGAGTAACATCTTTTCAAAAACTGGCTATGACAGTATAAGTAAATATTGAATAAAGAATATCATGTGCATCATATTTAAGGTGGTCTTATTGTCTTTTAGGGGGACCGTATGTGGAACTTTGCTGTGGCTGTCTTCTTGGTTGAGCTGTACGGTAACAGCCTGCTTCTCACGGCCGTCTACGGCCTGGTTGTGGCTGGATCCGTATTGCTGCTCGGAGCCATTATCGGTGACTGGGTGGACAAGAACCCCAGACTCAAAGGTCCGTTACTGTATAGCCGCACTTCCTGGGCTCGCTGTTTGTATAAACTTAATATTTGCAGCTATATTCTAATATGCGTTCTATTGCGTATGATAATTGGCTAATCCGTGTTAAATTTCTCTTAATTCCCGACAGTTGCCCAGACTTCTCTTATCGTCCAGAACTCTTCCGTAATTCTGTGCGGCATTCTCTTGATGGTGGTGTTCCAGTTTAAAGAAGATCTCAGACAAATGTACCATGGCTGGCTGCTTGTAAGTTTTTTTTTTTTTTTTTTATTGTATCTTTTCACCATGGAAATCTACGTGTTGTCGCAGATTGATGTGTATAGGTGCTGGAGTGTTACAAAGTCTTTCCAGCGCACGCGGACGTTAGTTTGCATGCTGCGCGCTACACGTGATTATCAGCAAGCAGCAGAAAGGGGTTTTGGGGAAAAAAACACAAGCTTGCACTGAAGCTTTTAGTGAAAGTTTGTTTTTCCCTTGGACACCGAGGAGTGAGCCTCAGTGATGTATTTATCCGCAAAGTCAGCGAGATTCGCGGCCGCTGGCCGTCACGTGAGTGAGGGGGATGTAGTTCTGCTTCTAAGTAAAATGTGTCACAGTTCACTAAGAGGTGGTTGCTCGAAAGTGGTCGTGGTTTTTCCAGATAACCGCCAATACCAAGGGTTATTGGTAATAAATTATGTTTAAATACTCAGATATCCAAAATAATGTTTAAATGTTGCACATGCACTTTTTAACCCACTTTACCTATGTTTACAGACAATGTGCTATATCATGGTCATCACCATTGCCAATATAGCTAACCTGGCTAGCACGGCCATGTCCATCACGATCCAGAGAGACTGGGTGGTGGTGGTGGCCGGTGAGGACCGGAGCAGACTGGCAGGTAAGCGTCCATCATTTCTCTTGTGTTGTCAAGGATGGATTAATTTCTCTGGGGGCCCGTAGGCTGATATGGGGATCTAGTGGGCAAGAAAAGGTTTACATCTGTAAACTAGTAGAGTACATTTGTAGATGTACACTTGTAAATTCTGAGGGTAACCATTTAAACTGTCATAATCTCCAGTAATACTTCAAGGTACTGACAGGATTTAAATTTTATAATCTGCCTTGAAAGTGTGGAATCTTACCCAGAAAATGTAAAATAAACCAACAAGCAAACAAGTAAATAAATATGCAAAGCTGAGCAGTGACAGTTTCTGGCCTCTTTCCATTTTTTCTTTCCATATTCAGCTGAGAGGGAATTTGACCCCACAGGGGATCCACCTCTGACCCTGGAGGTCAAATACTGTGTTAAACATAGAGCCTCTCAAAAATGTTGAGAAGCTGAGCATTTTCACTGTGAAATTTACTAAAAATAAGCACAAACCAGAAACCAAATAGCAGTTTATTAATATGAGTGGAGCACAGTAACCTCTACTTGATTAAATACTTTTTTTGTTTGCAAAAATGAGGATGTCATTTAAATGGAACGGTTCCCTTTTTCAGACATGAATGCCACAGTGAGGATCATCGACCAACTGACCAACATCCTGGCCCCCATGGTTGTGGGACAGATCATGGCGTTTGGGTCCCACTTCATCGGCTGCGGGTTCATCTCTGGTTGGAACCTCTGCTCCATGTGCCTTGAATACACTGTGCTCTGGAAGGTCTATCAGAAGACCCCAGCGCTGGCTGTGAAGGGGGGACATAAAGAAGAGGCTCAGGAACTTAAACACCTTCAGGACCAGCAAGGTACCCCAACCTCTCTCGTCAAATACGTTCCTTTGCAAGGCGAGGAAACCAGAGACGGCATGCCAGAAAAGTTCTGTAATCTACGATGCTTGTTGAACAAATAAGTTCAAGTCAATTTAGGACCCCTACAGGCTGAACTCCCCAGCCATTGAGCAGCCGACATGCAGTAGAGCATTGAGTGTTTATACAGTTTATGAGCTCACAGTGGCCTCTTCTTTTCACAGATCCTCTCAGTGGGCAGAAGCCGTCTGAGGACTCGCAGCTGATGACTGAAACAGCTGCGGTTGAGAAGGATCCCACAAAGAAAACTGGCTGCTTATACCAAATATCAGAGCCCTTCCGCACTTTCCGGGATGGCTGGGTGGCCTACTACAACCAGTCCATCTTCTTCGCTGGCATGTCCCTGGCGTTCCTCTACATGACTGTCCTGGGCTTCGACTGCATCACTACCGGCTATGCCTACACCCAGGGGCTCAATGGCGCCATACTCAGCCTGCTGATGGGAGCATCTGCCATCTCCGGGATCTTCGGCACGGTGGCCTTCACCTGGATCCGGAAGTGGTGCGGCCTGATCCGCACAGGCTTCTTCTCAGGCTTGGCCCAGCTCTCCTGCCTCCTGCTCTGCGTGGTCTCTGTGTTCGTGCCGGGAAGCCCCCTCGACCTGACCGTCTCACCATTCCAGGAGATGGTCCGCCAACTCATGGGGGACGGGGGTGCCTTGCCTGAGGCTAACCCCACCCCGCTGGCCATGCTCTCCACCAGCATGCAGAGCCTGACTAATGGCTCCACCACAGTCCATGAAATGGAGGAGATGGTGCAGGTGGAGTCCTACTTGTCTGTCAGCCTTCTCTTTGCTGGGGTCATTGCTGCTAGAGTTGGTAAGCATTTTGATAAGTTTCAACAATTGCAGCTTTAAAATAGATAATAGCTTGCACAGATTTTGGGAAGCATGTGTAAATATGTTTCATCAATGTTACTTGAGATATCTTTATATTAATTCTAGGGGGGCACTAATAAAAGTCTTTCCCACTAATGGCCGAGATGGTTGAAGCTAAGCATTCTTTCTACTGAAAAGAATCACGGACAATTTCTCATTAATTCTCCTTCCTTAGGTCTTTGGGCTTTTGACCTAACTGTGACCCAGCTGATCCAAGAAAACGTGATTGAGTCCGAACGAGGAATCATCAACGGGGTGCAGAACTCCATGAACTACCTCCTCGACCTGCTGCACTTCATCATGGTCATCCTGGCGCCGAACCCAGAAGCTTTCGGCCTGTTGGTCATCATCTCCTTCTCCTTCGTCGCCATGGGCCACATGATGTACTTCTGGTTTGCCTACAAGAACCTGGGCCCTCAGCTCTTCCTCCGGTGCTCTGCGGAGCAGAAAAAAGAGGCAGACATTCCTTCGCTTTCCTCTGTGGTGTAGCCCGGCAAGTTGACGGTGCGCCTCGGACGTAGGATGTGTAGCAAGCCTACCAAACCTGCTCTTAGTGATGCCTTCGCTACTCTGAGTACATTTAATATAGGCGCTTCATGAATCACTTGGCCTTTTATCACTTACTATTGTGTGTGTGCCGGTATCAGGCGTGAGGATGGACACATAACTCGCGAAACAAAAATGGAGGAGTCTCAGGTGTGCACAGATCGGCTCTGTACCCCCCTCAGACGTTTCTGTTGATCTTAGTCAAGGTGCTCGGAGCTGAAACACTGCAATTCACTACCACTCACACCACATCACCATGTTCATCAGATCAGCTGCTTTTCAAAGAGCCCCCACAGGACATTTCCCAAGCCACTATGTCATTCGTGTAGCGACAGTTTATGAAGCTCGTTGGGTTATTTGCTATTTAGCTGTCTCAGTACAAGCTTTAGTGTCATTACAAGACTTGTTTGCGCTAGATAAGCATAGTAGAAGTTCTCGTTTTTATAAGCTGCTGTTAGGGTTTATACGCAAATATACAAAAATGTATCTGTAGGTGTCTACATGTGCTGTGAACTCATAGTCAGTATTGTCCCTGTATCGTCTAGCTCTATAGTAAGTACATGTTAAAAACATTTGTCAGAAAAGCTATGCAAGAGGCTCTTTATGTTACCAAAGTGGGATTCCTCTGTAAAATAGCCAGCAACATGTTGTCTAAGCATTCATTCCAGAAGTCTGTGTGTGAGAAGCAATGTTATATGTCTCGACGTACTCCTCAGATGTTCAGTGCTTCCAAGAATGCTCGTGAATCTCCTGTGATTGTTCAGCTAGCACTTTAGGTGGTTGTACCCTATTGCGGGTCACCTTGAGGCATACGCAGCATATGCGCTAGTAGTCGCTAACTGTCTGCTTCAACTCTAGGTCCGTGCATATTCAAAATTCACACAGCACTGTGTTAAGCAGAAAGCCATTTTTGCACTGAAAAAGGCTGCTCCCCCCCCCAAAGAAAATGGATGAGGCTAGAGGTTTTCACAGCTACCTACACGCACTTAGCCCATCAGCCTGCGCTCAGGTGCATCATGCTGTGGCCAGCAAAGGTCTTACGACAAACACACACGTCCTCTTTAAAATGCGGCCTCGGCATCCCATCTGCTAGAGAGACATGGCCCACAGTGTGTGGCATTTTGTTAGAGCATTATTAGTATTGGCCTCAACTCACAGTGCATGTGAAGGTCTTATTGCCAAGAGGTGATATTTTTCTTCACAGCTGGTTGCCAGTCTGTTGGGTTTACATTGGATCGTGGATTTAAACAGGTTGCCCTTTGCAATTGTGCTGATGCCTCAGATTCCTCATCCAGATCCCACAGAAATGTGTGTCATGGTTAAACACCAGCATTAAAGTAAGCAAATTCTCCAGAGAAGGTTTCAGAATGCAAAAATTTTCCACTTGGAGTGGTTCAGGGACAAGCTCACTTTTAATTGAGACACTCTGTGTTTTTTTATAATGCATTAAATCCAGCAAAACTCAGCCAGCGAATACAATTTACTATACCTGTAAATGTGCTAAAACTGTGGGAATCAGTTTTTGTTTTAGGATTAAGGAAAACATTTGTATTTTGAACAACTTTTTATATATTGGAATTGTATTGCTGAAAACTTAAAATATGTTTCTCATTTCAAAGCATCATGTTTAGTTTTGTGGTGTTCGTAAAACTGGTAAGTATAAATGTCTGAAACCCAAAAGCCAATGATGATCTTAAAAAAAGCTGTAAGGAAAAACTGCAATTATGTTCCGGTGGATATAATGTTCGTTATATAGTAACAACATTATATTGTAACTGATGATGTTTTGCAATATACGATTGTCAGCACTCCACAGGAACTGGGGAATATACAGTTACTGCATGTTTTTTTCTATGTTTTTTTTCTATGTGAAGTAATAAAGATATAAACTGCTATAACGGTTGTGGCAGAAGTTCTGTTAAGTTCTGTTTCTGTCAGTGGGTACCAGATGGTCCTAGGTTTACGTCCCAGGTTCGGGTCCACTGCTGTACACAACACCGTCTCCCAGTGGCAGGGGTGGGTGAGCTTATCCGAGGGCCCTAGGCTGACACTGATATCAGCATGGACACTCAGGTGTTGCCGATTTAACTAACCCAGGGGCCACTGGAGCTATTTTATGAGCCAAAAGAGAAACAAAAAAGGCTAAAAAAAACAACGCAACGATGGGGTGCCGTTAGATAAATCTGCAGCCCCTTTAATAACTTTCTCATTCTTCCAGTGGCGGGGCCCTGATTTTTTCTAGGGGTCCAGGGCTTTAACCTAGGACAGCCTATACCTTAAGCCCTGCGTGGTGGGATAACCCTTTATATAAACAGGTCACCCTTAGGGTTCCCATATTTGGTGAGATGAAAAAGAGAATGTATTCAGGGATAAGAATATTAATGAGTTTTTTTGTTCACTGACCAATCAGATAGCACTTCTCTTAATATTAATACATTTTTCCTAACCACCCTGTAAAATGAAAATTCACGTCCGGGGAAACCTGGACGAATGGTAACCCTTCAGTTAATTCTTGCTTTGCAATCTACATACAGATGACACAATATATGTGTATACAAGCCATTTTTAACAAAAGTTGCAAAATGTTAAGCTAAAGTTTGTTTAACTTCAAGCAAACGGCGTGATTCACCGTTCGCACGAAAACAAAAATAAAGTATCAATGTGCCGATCTCCGGAAGTTTGTGAGCAGCGTGACACATAGGGCTGTGCATATCATGTAAACATGTGCCCAAGCCTTGCAAACGCTGTAATGATATTGACTGGCTGCTGTATATTGAAAACTGGTGCCTGCTCCTTCACTTGCTACTCCACCGTAACTTGCAACACTGGGTCATACAGGTTGCAGTGCTAAACCAGGCCAAGCCGTTGGTTTTTGAAAAACCACCCAGACACCCGGAAAGGGGCGCAAAAAGAGGACTGCTGTCACACACCAGGCGTACGTGTGCCTGGTCCATTTCAACCCACATGAGTCCACTAGAGGCTTCTGTGCCAACTGGATTGATGCGTATAGATCAGAAATGGGGAAAACCTTGCTTTAGTTACTTGGTTCATACTGCTACTGTTGGATATGAGAATCACATTAAATGTATCAAACCATTCGGGTGGGGCAGACCGTTACATAGCGTAATGCAAACCACCATGACCACTCCCCCGGGGGGAGGCGTGCAGATCAGCGGGTTAGGATGCCGGGGCTGTGATCAGAAGGTCAGTAGTTCAAGTCCTGTAGTCAGCAGTGAGATTCCATCTTTGGGCTCCTGGGTAAGGCCCTTAACCCCCAGTTGCCCCACAAACTGCCTTGACCCTGCTTTCTAAAAAAAAAAAAAAAAAAAAAAAAAAAAAAGTAGGTCACTTTGGGCAGAAGCATCTGTTAAATAAAATGTAAATGAACAGCTAAACAAACTTGGCTTTTTAAACCCTACCATCTTTTATAGGGATTTATTACTCACCTTTATCAGACTGAAAAGCTAGTTTCAGTCCATAAATGCTGTGTTTCCCAATCCGGTCCTTGGGGACCCACAGACAGGCCACTGTAGGGAGCTGGGAAGGAGCAAAAATATGGACCATCTGCCAGGTGGCTCGCAGGGAGCAAAAACATGGTCCCCGAGGACTGAATTGGGGATCACTAGCCTAAAGGTTTTGAATTAATGCGAAAAATAATTTAGCTGAAGTTGCTCAGCTCTGAAATGGCTGCTTCAGGCTCACCTGCAATTTAGGGGTTAAACGAACAGCAGCCAGGCCTGAGAGCCACCCTGACCAATCACAGTCGAGTGACCTTTGACACACTAAAACAGAGGCAGCTCTACATGCCTGACAGATAAGTCTAAGGCTGACATACCAGTGACATTCCTGTCAATTTTGAAAAGATTTGCATGCACAGGCACACAATATTGGTAGAGCAAACATTAAATCTTAATACTGAAAAAAAATATGTAAGATCATCACTTTCATTTCAATACTAACATGCATCATTTTGCATAAATGGTGTAGTAATGTATTGCCACACACTCTTGCCAAATGCCTTGGGGCTACTGTGTTGTGAAAGGTGCAATATAAAAACAAACTGAATTGAATTTAATTAATCCCTTAAGCTCTATTGACCAGCCAAGGACTGTCCATTTGTTTCCTGTAAGTAATAATTACAGGGCTAGCATTTCAGAACCTAGTCTTACAAGCTGAGGGTGTAATATCAGCCTATCAAAATGCAGGTCACCAAGACTAACTTCCACGAGATAAAATTTTGAACACATAAAGGTAGGATTTCAGGAAGCTGCCCCCACGTTAAAATATTTACTGTCCTGCAGAGATCAAATCCCCACTTTAAAAAGATGCCGAGTCATGCTGCTGAGTCATGCTGCTGAGTCATGCTGCTGTCATGCTGCAGATTCCCAACAGCTTCACAGCGAGAGAACCAACACAAACCAACTTCCTGTTTCACCCCCCCTCCCCATCCCCCCAGCAAAAAAACATCACAAAATCTGCAGTGTACAAATATACCAGAGATGGTACCCCAACCTACACCCAAAATGTAAGATTGCATCAGGGGAAAAAACTGAAAAACAATGTTCAATGGTGAAACTCTGGCATCAGTCACGCTGGGGGAGAGGATGACCTTAAAATCAGGTGTAGCTCATCATCCATGTGATGTTTATTTGTGAAGCTGTATTAAGCTTGGAAAACATCTGATTAATACTGACAGTCTCCACAAAGGCTTCCAACGGCCAGGCTGGGGAACGCTGAAGTAAGCTGAAGTGGAACACTGATCACACACAAGTCCTAGAAAGTCCACATTAAGGATTTGACTCGCATGATTAACATTTTAAGACATTTGCGAAACGGCACTCGTAATGAGGGAAATGCCCGTTTACTCGACACCAGGATATTGCGCTTCTTTGACTTGATGCTGAATGTCATCAGATCCCAAATAATTATCACGCTAACGGGACAAATGTCTGAGGAGACACTTTTCTTTGCCATCACTATGTGATGCTGCTTCTATTTTGATGCAATTCATCCCAAAATTTGATAATTTGCAGTTTGTCGCCAATAGAGTACGTCTGCACAGAATGAAAAAGATCCTTCAATTACTTTGAGTTACTGTGCTACCAGGAGTCAAAACTGGCCTTGTCTGTGCTATCACAAGGCAGCCCTGCTTCCATATTGGTGCAATTTGTCCCAAAGTTTGATCAGTTCCAGATATTCCCCCATATAACATGCCTGCAAAGTCTGTGAAATACTTTTTAAATCATCACGTTAATGAGAAAGCATCTTTAGCGGTGACGGTGGTCATGTCCCAAAGCCACAGTTATTCCCTGTCCAGAGAATTCAACAACAGATGGGGAAAAAACTGAAGGTTATATTTTATTACATGGCGCTAATCAATAAAAAACACAGACACACACACAGACACCCCCCTCCACCCCCCTGACTTTCAGCAGTCCAGTGCAGCGCTGACCCAGCTAAAGTCCGCTTTCCGTATCTGCCGCAGCTCCCGCTCCTGGCCCTTGGACAGTGATGCCGTCCCGTCGGCCGCCTCGTTCTGGATCGCGGGGCGACCTGCAGCGTCACGCGACTCCATCTCTTCCTCCGACTCCCCCATCTCTTCCTCTTTCTCACTCTCCATATCCTCTTCTTCGGACTCCTGGGCCCCCCTGATAAACAACACGACCGTGAGAAATATTTTGGTACGGAACACGCTGAGGGAGCATGCTGAGGGACGTGGCCTGGCGGGGCACGAGTTGCGGCCAGGCATGTGATATCGAGGCCGCACACGCTGTCACCCTGCCGATTCCACATGGGCGTCCGTTGCTTACCTGACCCCGGGTTTCGAAACGAGAAGGGAATTCACAAACATGGTGCAGAGATGGGAGGCAGGCGGCAGGACATGGGCAGGAGTGTGCAGGAGCTGAAAGGATAGAGAGTGTGGCCTCAGCAACCCAGCCTGACCCCTAAAACAAGCTTAAAACATCAACGTCACGATTAAAAAAAAAAACAAAAAAATAAAACAGGCACCTCTCGGACAGCCGTCGACCTCTGAGGCAGCTGGGTCCTCGCTGCCACCTGCTCGCAAAGGGGGTCCTGCTCGTTTCGCTGTGCCTGTCTGTGTTTCCCCAGCAACAGGCAGAAGGGCGTCAGGGCAACGCTATCGTCGACGACGAGCTGGAGATGGTAAGGGGCAACAGGGTAGGTAGTGAACATGGAGAAAACCCAAAAGTTTAATCAGCACACTCTCAAACAAACACCGATGGTCACAATCAATCAATTAATCAATCAATGTTTTGTCAAACAGCTATACTCTGTGCAGTGAAATGCTTGGTTGCCTAGCTTCAAGACTGCGGAATGGAATCATAAGCATAGAGAAATAAAACAAACAAGTAAAGGTTAATGCACAACAAGCTGTGCATCATAAGTTTTTAAAACGCACGGCTGATGATATTGGTCTTCTGACCAATTAGATCAGAGACAACACTGCCGTGGTATGACAAACATTGAACCATAATCATAAATATCCATGAACAGAGTGCGATATGCGGTGAAGTGACAGGCGGCAGTGCAAAGACTTGAATAAAAAATTAATAAAGCCAGTTTTTTCATATGCAAGCTGTGCATGTTTGCGTTGAGTAGGTCAGTGTTTCCTAAGCCAGTCCTTGGAGACCCTTTCAGACTGTCTGGAGGTCTCTAAGGACCAGGTTAGGACCCGTCTGGTAGGAAGAGGAGGGGGAGCAAAAACATGGACTGTCTGAGGACTGCAAGGACTGGGCTGGAGTAGGCTATAGTTGAACTGCATTGCATCGTCATTATTAACATTTTATTTAAGACATTTCTGCGAAAAGGCACTTGCGATACCTGTTTACTTGATGCCAGGATTCTGTCCTCCTCTGACTTGATGCTGAATGTC